ATAGTAGTCTCCCATATTATAGCCCCCTATAGAACCCACTTTAAGGAGTTTTTCCATGGTGAGATCATTAGGAACGGTACGAAGGAGAGATGTGTGGGGGGCGGGGGTCCCCCGGATTAGGTGTCTCTTCTCAGGGGTCCCCATAATAAGGACTAATGTCTGTATGAAGACCTACCTACCCTAAACAGTAAACCCCAAATCCTGAAACCTAGATCTCCCCATGCATGGAAGTTACCATGCACATTTCGGCAAGCCCTAGCAAACCTCTTCAGCCGCTTCAACTTTCTCCATCTTGATCTCCTCCACGGTGTCCAGAACCTAGTACAGGCTTGCCAGTTGTACGGAGGGCTGCATCCGTGGATCCTGATTCGCCCCCAGGAGCCGTCGATGATTCCCCAACCAAAGGGTTTAGGGTTTAGGTTTTAGGGTTCGAGTTGAAAATGGGATCGAGTAAATCCAAATGCAGGGAATCCCTGTCTATGCCCAGACCATTTGCAAACATTGCCCTGTCCCTCAAAGCGTCACGCACGGCACAACTCTCCACTTATCTTACCTACTATTACTGTTATTACAAAGACTACTATTGCACTTTCATAACCATCATTTGTATCATTATATTACTTTTTACGATTACTGTTGCTATTACTAGTACTAGTATTACTATTATTACTATTACTATTTCTATTGTTATTAATAATGCTATTATTACAAACTTCGGGCCTTGACAAACTCGCCATGCAGGTGATCTACTGAAACCTGAGTTGTGGACAGCAAGCTGCAGCAACAGCAGTAGCAACTATGGCGATAATAATACTAAGACTAGTAATAATGGATAATATGGTAATAAGAGTAATAGTGATAGTAAGAGTAAGAATGATAGTATACGAAATAATACAAGCAGTAACAATGGTCATAGTATCAATAGTAGTAATAGTAGTAAGAATATAGTATTAGTAGCAATAACAAGAATAAGATCAAGAATAAGAATAAACCCTAAACCCTAAACGATCTCAACAGCTGTGCTTACGGGGAACATGTCTACGTCAAAGTGCAGACTGCCTAGACTCAAGTCGCTGAAGCCCAGTCGCCGTGGAGCTGAATGCCTGCACGCTTAGGAGGGTTTAGGGTTTAGGGTTTTGAACTGGCGCTTGAGCAGTCCCGCTCATGCAGAAGTAGCGTATTTCGGGGTCTCCGTATGTGGCATCATCCCCAAATACCCTTCTTATTATCATTATTATTGCTACTATTACTATTCTTACTACAGTACTATCACTATTCTTACTACTGTTACTAAGATAGCTAGGTTAGTCTCTCGGGCTCGGCATGGCTTGTCCAAACAACTTGCTATAATCCCCCTTAGTAGCTAGAATAAGGGGTAGATGGGGATCTTACTATAATATACCCAAAACCATATTGTATCTACTTAAGGGGGACTATAGCATCGCTTTTCAAAATGAGGCTTACAGGATGGGGTGTTCCATGACAAGGATGATGACAATAGCATTTTGGGGGTACATTATGGGAAGCCATTGAAAACAACACCGAATGTTTCGAGAAACTGAAACGAGGTGCCCGCCGGCCGTGCCTTCATTGCATTCACATGCTCCTTCCACGAGAAGTTCGGCATTGACATCGTCATCTTGACCCAGGCCTGAAGGCAAATCGCTGGTTTCACAGGTCGCCAACTCCTTTACGCTTTTAAAGAATGATTGCAGGCAGATTAGAAAACCGGAAGTGCCTTGGAACGACTGCAGGCTACCTGAGAAGCTAGCCACTGACACTTCCGAACACTAAGGCTTTCAGAGGCTGCCAGGCCTGCTTCTATAGTGGATCTCCAATGCTCCATGCGCACCAAAACCCTTAGGGTGAGGGTGCGGAGCTCTGAGCCAGCAAGCATCGCCGTGTCACGCAGCATCACGTGTTAGGAACTCATGCACCCGTGCACAATTGGAGCAAGCTCTGCAAGCGGAGATGGCTCATCCTTCTGGTTGATGTCGTCCCGCGAGCTTGCAGGAATCCAAAGTCACTGCTTAGGAGGACCCCTCACCCTGTAATAGTGGTATAATAGGAATATAAGAAGACCCTAATATAGTTACTACTATCCCTTATAGTCACTATTACAGGGTGGGGGGTCCTCCTAAGTCATTGCAAGTAAGGTTGGTACAAAACATTTTTGCTGGCTCCACCTCTTACAGGTAGCTGCAAAGAGAACTCGACTTCAACGAAAAGTGTTGAAGGAGGGGCACCAAGCCACAGGAAGCAAACACAGACTGCGCAAGCATAGAAGGGAGGATGGCTGCTTATGCAGCGGATCCTGTCTGCACTTCCGTGGAAAACAAGGTTGGTAAGCGCATGCCCTCACACTTCAAGAGGATCGCTTGGCGGAGTACCTGAACATGCTGGAGGCAACTCCCTGACATCTCTCCATCCCATGGGGCATGGCAAGCTTGCAAAATTAATCCAAAAGAGATTGGCCCCTCGTATCAGCCCCTCCCCAAAGATGACAAAGATTTTGTCGGGTGCATAACATCATGGAAGAGCACCTGTACAACGGAAAAACGACTTTTGAACGCCCAAGCCAAACGATAAATAGATTAGGGAGATGTTTTCTTCATTAGGAGGCGGGGGTTCATTAGAAGGAATCAAAAGAAATTCGGGATCGCGTTCATGTCCTTGCTTTCTGAAGCCCATCTGATGAGAAATACGAATCTTTGAACTATTTGACTTATTTAGCTGACTAGTTGAAACTAAGTGAGCTGGAATTAAACATGTCACTCAATTCATGGGGTTACATTCGTGAAGTGGATTTAAATTCCGGTTCAAGTTGATCAAGCAATCAAAGTGAATGAGCCGACTAGACAAGTAGAATTAATTCGTTCTAGAAATAATTCCTGGAGAAATTCGAACCCGTTACTTTAATGAATGACAGTTAACGACAAAGCCAGAACTGATTCAACGGTTACTTCTGCTTCCAAGTAGCGAACTGTTTACAACTAATTCATAGAACCAATTGTAATAAATTGCTTGGATCTATTATGGCAATCATTGGAGAGATGAACTGAAGGGCGCAGAACATTCATTTTTCTGCCAGGGAAGGGGATGCGTAGTTTTCAGCACCAGCAGCACCAAACCCCGCACCGCCAGCACCAGCACCAGCACCAGCACCAGGACCGTTACCAGCAGCACCACCGCCGCCGCCGCAGCAGCAGCAGCAAGCACCAGCAGCACGAACACCCAGACCAGGACCAGCACCAGGACTGCCAGCAGCAGCAGCAGCAGCAGCAGCAGCAGCAGCAGCACAACCACCAGCACCAGCACCGCACAAGCAGCAGCACCAGTAAACGCCAGCGCCAGCAGCAGCACCAGCACTGCCACCACCACCACCGCCGCCACCG